TCATTGTGTATTTAACTCAAATTTTGCTACAATAGGCTCCATTCTTAACTATGGGTCGTCAGGCATTCTTAACCTGGGGACTACCTGTAGAGAACTGCAGCTTAAATTTTAATCACTGGTTGTTTTACTCAGAAAGAAATCTCACTGTATTCATTGTATTAACTTTAATACGCCTAGAATTGCAGCCTTTAATTTATTTCCAAATATAAATATCCTTCAAAATGCCTTGAGATTACTACTACAGGTAGTCCTCACTTAACAACCATTTGTTTAGGGACTATTCAGTTACAAAGGTGCTGAACAAAGGGACTTACAATCAGTCCTCACACTTACAACCATTGCAGCACCCCCACGGTCACGTGATCATGATCCAGGCACTTGGCAACCAGCTCGCACTGGCAAGGTTACAGTGTCCTGGGGCCATGTGATCGCCATTTGTGACCTTCCCAGCCAGCTTTTGGCAAACAAAATCAATGGGGAACTGCATGATTCATTTAACAGCTATGGTGTTTCGCTTAATGACCATTGCAAAAAGGTGGTAAAATTGGGCATGACTCGCTTAACAATCATCCTGATTAACAATGAATTTTCCAGTCCCTATTGTGGTCGTTAAGCAAGGACTATCTGTAACTGCACAGCACTTGAAAAAAAGAAACAAGAAATAAGTGCTGAATTCTCCAAGTTTTCTTGGGCAGTTCAGGAATTGATCTGGACAGTATTTAAAGATTTCTTCTGTTTCCTTTAACAAGTCGACTTCGGAACTTCCAAATATCCTAAGAACAAAACATAGGAACAATGAGGATCTTCTTCCTTATTCTGATTTCCTATCCAGTTACAACACACATTGAGATGTAAACATGTTGAGTTAGTTGACACTGAGGCTTGAAAATTCATTTAAAAATGTAAGATTCTCCAAGTTATGAATGCAGTACATCAGATGAAGCAAAACCTACCAGGAATTAAATCCTCTTTTTCTAGTTTTCCACTAGAAAAAAATCATAATCCATATCGATGTAAAATATACCTGAAAATGTCAGATCAACACCCCCTAAAATCTCAAAGGGGAAAAAAACAGGCCTCTGGTAAAACAATACATTTCTATATCTGGTATCAAATTTAATTTTCGAAAGGAGGCACAACTACACTGCAGAAGATAGGATTTGCACTAGTCTGAAATCACTCTGAATATAAACACAGTGTGTTTTACTACTAGCATCAAAAGGACACACTAAAATGCACAGATATAGGAAATATTTCATCACTTAATGAATCGTTCCAGTTACAGCATTTGCTATTTGAAGGCTATCAAAGAGCGCTGGTCATGATAAATCTTATTACGTACTAATTATAGAGAAGAAATATCAGTAATCAGACCTCCTGATTAGATCTTATATAAACTGCTTCTACTGAAACAGAATTCTTTAGATACTTCCTAATCATTAAGAACTCCTTATAAGAGAAGTATTGTGCAAAATACTTTTGGACATGGTATTTTAGAAAAAGAAAATACTTACTTTCAGGGGAACTGTGTCTACATTATACTTCTTCCTTGCAATCTCTTGAACTTCTTTCTCTATAATTTCCTGCGTGGTGCCTTTCACATCAACATAGTGGCAATTACAACTTGCATAATGACAAGAGATAGCCTGCATTAAAAAACAATGAGAAGTTGCACCATTCTTTACACCAGCTTATACTGAAAATATTTAAGTCTTAATCTGCCATTTTCCAAACTTATTAATTAAAGGGATTAAGAAATACTACCAAATGTTAACTTAAAATACACTAAGGCTTTGATTTTATGAAGCGGAGAAGGATCTCAAAGTACCTTTACTGCCTACTACCTGAATTAAGATTTTACCTTTCGAAACCCTTCCGTCTTATTCCTTCCAGAACCATGAATTATTAAGGGATGGAAGAACACCGTGTCTCCTTTCTCCATGGCAAGATGAACTCTGGGAATGCTTTCATCATAATCACATATTCCATGGTACATCTTGTTTACACCACCCTGGAAAAGCAATGTAGAAACTACCTTCTAACTACTGAAAGACACCACCAGGAGAACATGCTAAATTCAAAAACTGATAACCGAGTTCGTTTAGATGTCCACCTGTAGACCAGCATTCTATTTCCAACAGTGGCCAGATGGAAGAAGCTCCCTGCAGTGTTTATCCCCAGGATCTGATTCAAGATAAGACACTTAACCTCTTGGGTGTTCGTCATCTATAATCTGGCAAATCTTCTTCATGATTGTGTCACCTGGGGACCACCCCCATGCCTCTCCATATGTTACCTCCCACTCCGGATACTTGTGCTCCTTCAGGCAGCCCTTATGAGATCCGGGCACCACTACCAAACACCCATTTCTACGATCCACTTTTTCCATGGCAGTCCAGGAAGCAACAATTCGGTCAGCAGGCCGGAAAGGGAAATAATGCAAGTCCTGATGCAGAGGATGACGAGAGGTTTTCTTTCCTGGAAATTATAGGCATTCCTTTCATTTCAGAAACAGGATTAAAATTATATGCTGAAACAGTAATTGGTATACATATTTCTCTCTTATAAAGAACAGGAAGAAATGAGAAGTATTTATCAACTTTGGAATCAGCACTTCTTTCAGCAGTTCATTTCAAAGGGGAAAAATAGTTAGATTTTTTCCCCATACGCCCTAATTCTCTGACTCTGAAGAGAAAAAAGTGTAATTCACATCCCACAGTATGCTAACAGAAAAATGCCTCTTAGCTATTTTAAGCTTTCATTTAGTTAGCATTTCTTACCTCCATCTGGAGGTTTATTTATCAACATGGTGTGCACTGCCATGATGTCTGGCCCCGTGAAGCATTCAACATATTTTAGAATCTAAGGTAAAGAAAACAATTGAATAAATACATATATATATATTTGAACCTGCTGAAGCACCTACTACTATATTATAAAAAACAGCAAGCTGTATATTTAATTAATAGGTGAGTTTTGAAAAGCAACCTATTTTATGCAATGCTGTCAGAGTTCAACATGTGCAAAAATGCTGCATCTTGACAAAAGTGGGAAACCTGTAAGTTATGGTCATAGCTCACCAGCAATGTCCTTAGCCATAAAAAAAAATGACAATTTATAAAAATCACACAAGAGGAAAAGCTGGTCTGAAAGTGCTAGCGATTTAACTGTTTGTTGATTAAACTTAAGGAAGCAATTAATGTCATGGTGATCCTCAGGCCTTATACTATTTCTTTATCCATTTTTGTTAAACCTAAGTCAACAAAACACTTAGGATTTTAGAATATTTCTATCTTCACCTGAGGTAACGTGCAATATCTGAAGAGTTCTTCATCAAAAATGAAGTCCTGAATTTTTGAAATTGCTTTCTGATCTGGAACAAACTCAGACCTGGCAACCGTTATATCTCTCATGATGGTTAATACAGGCACCTCCACTTCCCTTCTGCATATTTTTGCAAACTCCTCGCTGAAGATAGGGTTAAAAAATAAAAAGCATTTTTAATTGGCATCAAGAACTCAGTTAAATGCACCTTCATTTGCATTCATTCTGTGTAAGACTTTACATTATGTATCAAAAGTGAATTACTCCAGAAGTCAATTTTTGAAAATTCAAGGATTCTCAAACTATGGAGTGCAACCTGCAGGGGGGCCACAAACAACTTATCTCCTTATTTATTCTGCATGCTACTGACTGTTCCCATACCACAATTTCAATAATAAAAACCACACAGTAATAAAATTAAAACAACCCCATCAATAATTCCAAAAACAGAACCACCCTCTTTGTACAACTCCACGTGCGCGTTACAAGTACCACCTGGAGCTACAGGTGTTCACACCACAATGACTCAGATACCCCATTACTTGCAGGAGTTGCACTGGTTGCCAACTGACTTCTGAGAGCAACTTGAGGTCCTGGTTTGAAGCCCTACATAGCTCTGAAGCTGGTTAGCTGTGGAACATCTTCTCCCAATGGTTTCCGCCTGTCCAATAAGATCTAATAGGGAAGGCGCCCTTCAAGTCACAACCTTGAGAGACTGCCATCATCAGAGACCCTGAGGGTCTGCCTTTCCTGAAGCTTCTTTGGAATAGTGGTCCACTCAAGATCAGGTTGTTCAGCCCTTTGGGGCAAGCTAGGTCAAGAAACAGACACTGCAGGATTCCAGAATCTTTATTGGAGTAAGGTTGTCAAGTCCACAGTGTCCAAAACCCAATTCAGAAGCATTCTCACGCAACCAGGCTTGGTTCAGAGAAATGCTTCTTTATTAAGTGGTACATGTAGCCTGCAAACAGAACATTGCTAAAACTAAAGCCTTGGGTAAACTTCCCTCTATTTATCCCCCCTCCCCTAATTGCCTGGCTTCTCGATTCCTCTTCACCTGGTGTTGACCTCTTTCCTTCCTCCCCCTCCTCCCTGAGCTCCTTCCTGGCTCTTTGGGCCTCAGCTGCCTTGCCTGCAATCAGGCCAGCCTAAATTGCCCATATATGGTTAAGCTCCTTCCCACCTCCCATTACTACGCCTATTACAATCTTAACCTGCAACCCCCCCCTCCGTAGTTACAATTGGCAGAAACAAATCAATCCAACTCCCATCGAATGCAATACAATGTAAAACAACAATAGTTGGGTGATGCAGGTTCTGACAAAGGTAGGATAAGAGAATCTTGAAAACCTGTCCAACATTTTCTCTGTCCCATCCTATACTAAGTAAAATCAAGGTGAGGTTATGTTTCTTTCTCACACGTCCCTCTTTCTTGGAAGCATGTTATTGTTTCTGCCTCTCTCACTCCTTCCCTATTCCCAATGCTAGCTCTAGTTTCCTTTACAGGTTGGAACTAACCACGTTGGTCTGCAGAAAAGCCACCAAGAGCTGGGTGTTCTGGAAAGTCTTGGGGACTAACATGATGTGTCAACTTCCTGAAGAAGGTGATTGTTGCTGTTAAGACTGTTTTCCTTGGTATATCCCTGACTAGGACATTGGTTGCTCTTGGGTTTTACTGATTTGCTTTTCCTTCACTGTAATTCTTTCTGTTTCAACTTTTGTATTATTGTAAGCTGCTCAGTGCCTTGATGAAATTCAGCAGCATATAAATTGCAGAAACAAATACATACATATATACATCCCAGGATACAAAAACCAACCTAAACATAACTAAGAATTAATGATAAGGGTTTTGTGTTTTTTTTTTTGGTTTTTTAAAGATTTGGATTGTATGTTGGTTTAATTCTGTTGTTTTTGTCATGGCCATGTAACTGCCAAGAGTTGTGGGAAAAACTGGTAGTTGTGCTTCTGCAAAATGTGAGACTCCCTGATGATATAAAGATTTAATTATTGAAGGTAAGCAGGCTGCTTATTTCTTGCCTAACCCTCCCCACAATGAAATTTTCTTCATGGCAGATCACACAAATTAATTTATCACAGTAGTGCAACATGGTGTCTCAATGTCTGAGAACTTCTGGTCCAGGCAAGGGCAGAATTTCCCAGCTGAGACTCTTTGGAGGATCACTGGGGACGAGCCGATTCAAGGCTTATCACAAGGAAAGTTTCTGGACGGCAGTAAGAATGACTTCAGCAACATGGGTTAGGATACCTGGCTCTGGTTTACCTGAAGCGCTCAATGTCCTCATCAGCCACTAGATTTTTGATGAGAAGATATCCATTGTCCTCATAGAAATGTCTTTGCTCTAGAGTCAGCAAGTTATTATCCAAGGTATAACTGTGGAAACATGAAATATTGTGTTCTTTTTTTAACTGATGTAGAATTAAAGCCTTTGAATTCCCTTAGGGCTTTGGGGTAATTTACAGAACGACAATCAACACAATCCCCCAAACCGTATTTAAAACAAGATACATTATATCCTAAAACAAGATGCTCATAAAACACTGAAACATGAAAAGGCCTGGACACAGAGATGTTTTTGGTTCTCTGCTGGACAGATACAAAAAAGGAAGAATTAATCAGTGTTGACAAAGTCATCTGCAAGAAGATCCTCCATGGGTGACCCACTGATGCCCTAAGAGGGCAAGGAGGATTATATAGGAAGAGGCAGTCCAGAAGCATTCTGGCCTAAGCCTTGTAAGTCTTCATACACCATTGTGAACAAGTTGTCTTGAAAGGTAACATGCAACCAACAGCGTAATTTCCCCACTTGAGTTATGTGGGACTTTGGAGAGGCAACAGTCTTTCTTGTGCTGTCACGTTTTGGGCCAGCTGCAATTTCTAGTCTTCAAGAATCACCCTATGAAGAATAGATTCCAGTAATCCAGTAGTGCAACATCACGTTCATGGCTCTCTAGGCAGAAACACAACTCCTTTTACCTAATAATAAGTGGTTAAGTTACTGGCCTAGGATCCAGGAGACGGTGTATTCTAGGCCTCCCTTAGGCTTATATTCTTATTTTTTCTTTTTTTTCTTTTTCTTTCTATTTTTCCCCTTCTTTTCTGCACTTTCTATTTTTTCTTTTTCTTTTTAGTTTATATTAGTTCTTATATTTTTAATTGTAATGTTTAATAAAATTATTTTAAAAAATATAGTTTTCAAAGACAACACAGAGCAGTGTACTTCTTGAGATCCATAGCGTGCTTCTAGAAATTCAAAATACAGAGACCTTGAAATTATGTAGTTTAAAAAACAACAACATACCAATTTATCCAAAATGGAGACATGGGTTTCCCCAAAATATTTAGGCAGGCAGGCACGTAGGTGTGCATGTGTATTCACAGAATATAGGCATAGCTATTTAAAGGGGGGAAATGCTTTGGCCTGGAAGGTAGACCAATGGGTAGAGAGGCTTCAATAATCATGGCCTCTAGAATTATTTTTCTACAAATGGCAGAGCCAATTTGTCTCCCATGAGAATGAGGATTCTAAAAGAACTTCTGTGGAGCCCCTGGATGGTTAACTTCTTTGGTTCCCACGTCTTTCTAGAATTCTTGCTTGCTGTGAAGACGAGTCTAGCATTGCATTGAGACATTTGTCCTCTGCATTCTTCGGGTTGTGGTGTATATCCCCTCTAAGTGTTACCGTGACATTAAAAGGTATGTAATTCTCTGAAAGTGAGAGACATATTCAAACAAAACAAGTTGTTTCAGACGCCACTCCAAAACCGAAAGACCAGTTTAAGATAAATAACTAACTTTATAAACCAAAACTACTGAACGTTCAGTAATCAGACAAACAACTGCTAAATACATGGCCAAAATGAACCAAGACTGTAATAAATCTGGGTTTTCATGCAAAAAAAAAAAAAGGCAAGAACAAACAGAGCAAAGTTCTACTTACCGGAACTGTACTGGGCATTTCGAAGGAGCAACCTGGGCTGAAGTAGGAAATGGTGTCTTCACATTAAATTAAGAAAATTAAAAAGATTGCTTTGACTGAATATCCCATGACTGGATATGGGAAATATACTCAGAAGAAATGTATAATCATAGAAATTACTCTCATGAAGAGGAAAGGAATTAAATGTAACGTAGTGTTTTCACATTTAAATTACCCCCCCCCCCAAATTATCTTATAGCTGGTACCAGTTTGAAATTTAAAAGCCAATGAATGAAGAAGGTGCTGGCACTTCCCTTTCTTTGCCCAAATGGGGTCTTTCCTTCCTACGTAAGAAAACCAGGGGAAGAAAATAAATGTCAGCCAGGCAGGAATCAAAACCAGGTGAGCTAATTCTACTTTATTGTACAGCTACCTTGACAGGATCTTGCAGGTCTGAAAGCACAATTCTCCCCCCACCCACTTCTCCTTTCACAGCTGGAGAAACCAGGAAGGGCCCCTTCTGAGCCTCTTTCTCTGCCCCTTCTGCGGCTGCGGCTTTCTCTGCCCCTCTCTTATCTGGCCATTCCCTTGGCAGCGTCTCTTCGCCCCGTCCCCCAAGGCCCTTCCCACGTAACATTACAGGTACAGCCCGTGCTGTAGCCTAATCCGGTTCCGCCGCTTGACCGCGACAGCAACCCCTGGTCAGAGCGGTTGAGCTTCGCGTCGGGGCTGCCAGAATGGGGGGTCGTGCCCCGCATCAAGCCCCGCCATTCGCGGGCTTTACCATCCCCAGAAGGAGCCCGTCCGCTCGGACGCCCCGAGAGGTCTCCGCGGGGCCAAGCAAGGAG